CACTCTGATTTCACCACCTTTGTACCAATGCCTTTCATGAACGTTTTTAGGTTTACTGTGTGTGTTTTGCTACCATCAAAGAGCAAAATCTGGAATCACTCTCCAAACAAAAATGAAACACAGTAGGAAAGAGAACTCAGCAGCAGTCTGTGTAGACCAATTATTATGATCTCTGCACCATTGCATTTCATAAGCCTAAATGAAAAAATTTCCATATTTCTGCATAATGAAGATGAATTCCATTAGACTATGTGATAATGTTGATCATGAACTAGCAACTACTACCTTTAATTGAACTTCATACAAAAGAATTAACATAATCCCCCTTCTAGAACATCAAATGAACTTTGAAAATTCACAGAAGTCCAAAATTGTAAATCTTAAATCTGCATTTTTCTCATAAAACTCATATGTTTATTACATAAGAATAAAGGTTGTTTATTAAAGCTTTCATAAGAAAGAGTTACAGCTGATTAGGATTATAACCGAAGACAATCTTCCATTATATTTCAACCCCCCCTTTTTTTAAATATATCAGCAGACCAGCCAAAATTTTTTAACTATCACTTATAAGGTATTTTTCCCACCTTCTTAGCAAAATTGTGTGGTGTAGTGGTCAGCACAGCCCATAATTGAGAGGTTCACAGTTCAATTCCCAGGGAATTCCCAGGCATTGTTAATTTTTCATCTTGCTTGAGGTATTTTTGGCGCCCGAACTAAAAGGGTGTTGGATGATGGTTCTCCTCACCCAGGATTTGTTTCCCTAAAAACCCCAGTCGTCCTTTAAAAGGGGGAGTATATAAGGTATTTCTCCCACCTTCTTAGCGAGCCATTGTGGTGTAGTAATCAGCACACTCCGCGCGTAAATGAGAGATTCGCGGTTCGATTCCCGGCGAAGGCGTTGCTAATTTTTCATCTTTCCTGCTTCAAAAAATATCTAATGTCTCTACACGCTAAATAATTTTCCTTTTAAACTTCTAGCTGCACGCTATTTTTTATGCAGAAGTTCAGACTGCACTATTACAAGAAAATGGACTACAGATTCAAACACAGGTATTTGTGGCTGTACAATATTGATCTCTATGGTTACTAAATTACACCACGAATGAACAAAAAAATACATTTTTGCAGAAGATGCTGGAAATGGTCTCTATGTTTTTTATACATAAACCAACACTGTGACATAAATTTTTTAAAGTGCTGATTAAGATACTAAGTATAGCTACTTATGATGATGTTCTACAGATCTTTTACCTTCTAATAACAACCGATCTTTCTTCTTTATTGAAACTCATGGAGCAGTGATTTTCTATTCTGACTTCCAGGTTACTGTGTTAGTGTTCCATCCTCTAATGGGCACTTCATCGATGATCAAATAAATTTACCCTAAACAAAAATACCCATAAATACCATTGTTAGAATAAATAATACAGTAAAAAGCATGAAATCCAGATGTCCGATATCCAGACTCAAGGTCACCAAACCAATCAGTAAATAAATATAAAAATAAAATTAAAATAAGAAATTCCCTTCCTGCCTAAGTTTAGGAATTGAGAATATAATGCTTAACAAAAGAAGGCAGGTGTGCCATAAATGGCACTTTTCTCCCCACTTACAGAGATTTTTTTACAAGCATGCCACTTTCACACAGCTGCCGGCTAGAAAGTGGTGTTCTAGCAAATGACAATGAATTGATTTACATATTGATGTTGGCTAAGATCACTCTTTTGGCCCCTCAGTGATTGAAGAAAGGTTAGCATTCTTCTGTCCCACCTAAACAATGAGTGAAGCCCAAATGTTTCCATGTCTACATGTCATTTTACTAAATTTAAACTGATGATCTAAAATCTGGAATTCCTCTCTTTGTACTGTATTTACAATATGAATTCAGGGACCTTTTAAATCTCATTGCACTTTGGAACGTTTTCGTGATTTTCAAAATACTACAATTTTTTCCCCTAGTTCACTGTTAAACTTTCAATTATTTAAAAAAAAAAAAAAAAATTAAATTCCTCGGCTCACATTTATAAAAAAAATATTTTCTATAAACTTAATTTTATTGAAAAAATGCAATGCATAAACTATAATGCTCTACATAAACATGAAATAAGAGGAAAACTTTAAATAAATCCATTTATTTACAGTTTTTAACAGAGTATAATTAAAGTAAAAAAAAAAGTAATAATTATACAGTCACAGGATTAAAAAAATAAAAGAAAAATTATAATATCTATATGAATTTATAAACACGCATATATAAATAAAAGAGGGACTTACATAACTTAAAGACACATTATTTATTCGAAAATCTTGATAAACTTTCAGTATCTGTAAGTGTGAAAATATATGATTTTACATACTGTTTCTAAAAATTCACAAAATTAAATTACACTGTCAAAGTACAAAACAACAAACCTGAAACTTTTTGTAAGCTGCAGAGGGGAAAGGAAAAAAAATATATACAAAAGCAGATATAATATTGTGAATTTATTATTCAAACAATCTGGCAAGCACATAAATTTCATTTACCAGTTTATCAAACATCAGAGGTCAGACAAATATAAACTGATTAGTTGAATATCACGTGCTCATTTATACAGAATTTTGAAAAACACATAACTTCTCTTTTTGGGACTTTTAGTTCACATAACACTATTTGTTACATTTTAAACAACTTTGTAAAGAAAAACAGAAAAAGTACTGAAAAAATTCTATAAATCAAAGAAAGGACTGCTGCTTTTGTTCATATAACATACAAAAGATGAATTAATAAAACTGGAAAGAAATTTCCTATCTAAATCTTTTGTAAGTTTTGTACACTACCTTTCTTTTGCATCAATGTGCAGGGATATTAGAACATGAAGTTCACAGTTTTAATATCCAGTGGAAATCTGAAATCTTAAAAGAATCTCAAGATCTTTATGAATTCTATAATATGATAAATTGCAGTGAATCCCAAATCTTCTCACAGATTTAACTGAATCACTTACAATAATCTAACACTTAGATTTCAACTGAATTGTTAAGCTCCGAGATGAAGAAAAAAAATCTTTGCTGACCCCTACATTTTTTCCTCTCAAGATAAAAAACAGGTTTACTACCAAGGTATTCTTATGCTAATGAAACTTTAATCTACAGCATCATGTTAATGAGTAGTAGGTCTTTACTGAGACTCATTAAGAAGTGTTAAAGCTGTTTCTGTAGCAAAGACAAAAATATGCTTCAATATCATTATAGGCACAGCCAACAGTTTATGCTGTAACTGTCAGCTTTTGAGGCTTAGCCTTGAAATAATCACTTACTTTAACAAGTGAAGATTACTTCTGGATATTCCTCATTAACAATAAGCTATTTACACCAAAGTTAATTCACATATTTTGACAATGGAAGGCTGTATATTAATAAATTTGTATCATGTACCACTCATTATAAAACCTATTACCAGCAGTGTCTTAACCACAAAAACAATGTGTAAGACATTTCGCTGAGATAAGAATTTATTTTTTCTATTGAATCCAAAGGTAGCAGATATAGAAAACATCAAGTATTACAACTACATTATAATAAATGTATATTTTCAGTTTTTGAGTAGAATAACAATGAACAGCTGAGACTACATAGCGCTACAAATAACTTTTAGCACTGTTTCTCTGTCTGCAGTGTGATAAACGCAAATTACCAATGGTGATGAAAGTAATGTAAGAAAAACTAATTCATTCAAATTACAGCAATAATGAGAAAACATGTAGAATATATAGCTTATTATCTGGTTATCTTTATTGCTCTGACAATATACTCTACTAATCTTAATCCAATAAATGTCCAGGAGAAACATCTCATATAATGAAAATTTAACACATATTACCATTGACATATACCAATTACATATACCAATTGCATGACAATGCAATATTTATATTAATAATTCTTATATTCACTGATCAAAGACAACAATCATCATTCAGAGTTCTACTGCACCTTATAATGGACATAACTCCCCAACAACTGACTATTAAGGGTTAAGAGAATATGAGTTTTATAAATAATGTATGAACCACACATTTATGTAAGGAAAGCACTTTGCACAGCACAAAACATTACTCATATGTTATGTTATTCTACTGGGTAAAACATACATTTTGAGACAAAAACGTTTGAAACAGTTCTTGTAGCATATGAAGTACCTTATATATAAAAATATAACATTATGGAACCATTACACAAATTTATATGACAGAAATCCCAACAGCCTTAATTAGTCTAAACATGGATTTTAAAATAAAGTCATTTTCTTCATGAACAATGTAATTGGTTTATGGTGGCTAAGTATTCAACAGGTATAGAATGAAGAAATATGTATATTTTAGAGTATGACCTTCTTCTTTGTTATTCCTACTTATTCCAGAGGCAAAACTCATTGTGATAAATGAATCTTTTGAATGAAGAAACATCCTCTTTTTGTTCCTCTTATCTGAATTGCATTTAGATGGGCCATATAATTTTCAGTACTTTTTCATTAAAATATTTACATCACTTATGCAGGATGAAATATTTCAAAATGCAGCATAAAATTCAAAACCTGTAGAACTTGATAGTTCACAATATAAATTTTAATCATTTTCAGCTGTTATTGCTTAGCTTTCTTTGTAATTGTTCCAAATGCTGATATAACTGTTGGTTTAGTTCCAGTTGGCACTGGTAAGACTGTAGGGGTTATCAGAGCAGCAGGCTTCAAAGCTGTTGCAGGCATCTGATTAATGCCAACATCCCATTTGCTTTTGCGTTTTCCAGCATCTGAAAAACATATTCCTTTTTATTTTAATGGAAACTCACATTATATACTTGAAGATAACTAAATAAATAAATTCCAGCCAAGGAGGGCTATAATGATATGTTAAAAAATGGAAATGTAATTTTAATACAAATTATTTATAGAAATATACTAAATTTATCAACATCAATCTCATCCAAATTTTGAAAAAAAAAGCAACTTAATTCTTCTAATAAATGACCTCGTAATAATAATAAATAAAAATATCAGTGAGTAAAGATATTCCCTCCCACTCAAATTAGTCAGCAGTTATTTGACCATTAACAATTATCAATTAAATTCAAGTATCTGTCAAAAATGGCGAATTTACTAAATCTAATTTTACCTCAGAAATAAAATCATAACATAGAACTTTCTGCCTATTTATATTGTTTTCATAAAAAACAGCTTCTTTTAGTAAATATAAATCACTCAATAAAAGCAAATAATCAAATTTATTTAATTCTAAATAAATAAAAATTTAAACTGTGAAAACATGCAACAAAACCAAAAAGTCAAAATCTAACTTGCTTACACAAATTGCACTATTTCAGAAAAAAGTTTACTCCTTCCCCCCAAAAAAGAGATACATAACATGTCTCAATTTAAACTCTGTTAATTGAAGAAATTTAATTTATCAAAAACTCTCAATCCATCAGTGAGTTCAATTTATGATGAAGAGGAGGGTAAGGGGCATTAATTCAATACAGCTCTTCATACTTTTCAAATAAGGATTCAGAATAAACTTGCTAGAAAAACATAACCAACCAATTTCTGGCTAAAACTAGCATTTCCCTTCCATCAATATAAAATATGAGTTTTCTTTAGCTAACTGTTCAAAATGCAGCTTAAGCAAATTTTTCCAAGTTCAGATTTTAATTTTTTTGATTTGTATATTTTCATTTCCCAATTCTAATTTCCCCTATCTATACCTTCTTTTCTTTCTGAAAATGCGTCTTTATTTATTCTTAAAAAAAAAAAAATAAAAAAAAAATAAAAAAAACTACACATCATGTTATAAAATAGAGAAGATGAAAAATGAGAAATGTTTTTAAAATCTTTCACCTAAGAATTCCAGTTTAAATTTTTAAAAATGCATATCTTACAAAATCCAGTACTTTCCAGTTTCTTCTTTACATTTTTTTATTATGCTGGCTTAGGAATATTCATTAAAAAAGAATCAGCTTTGTTTTTTGGAAGGAGGGGAATAAAAATCATATTAGTTGAAAACAATCAATTTTAAAACACCGAAACATTTTAGAATTAAAATTTTTAATGGTCCAAATACAATATAAAAAATGACAGGATATTTAAAAAATCAGTACCACCATTTTAAAAAATGATTAATACATATAATAATATCCTTAATCTAGCTAAAAATGCTCTTTCTGCTAATGCTAGCCATCTCAAACCACCAACATATATCTAAAACCAAAGTGTCCCGGATCCTTTCCTTTAGTCTTGAATTAGATTAAGATGTCTGAATATGTCAAAACACGTAAGAGCTATTTGCCTAAGAGAATGGTTGCTTTCTGAGGAACACCGGCTCATGCTCATGTTACACATGGAAAAAATCGTGAAAACCAAACATGCAACCAGCCCATTCACCTGGACTCAAACCCAGGTTGAACTACCAATATTCAGCAAACCTTTACCAGTTGACAATTAATCAGTCAGCCACTAGTGCAGCCTCTTAATCTGGGGGAGTCAGGCTAATAACTTTCAAGCATTTCCATAGCATTTTGCTATTACCAACCATTTCAGGCTTGAAGAATTAGAATTTAAAATTTTATACTTTTTCCTATTTTTTAGGCTAAATTTTGAGAAATTCTAATACTAAAATAAATACAATTATAAGAAATTTTATTTTTGGTAACACTGATAGTCATTTAAAACAAACATTAGTTTCTGAAAGCTGTTAAGCTTCCAAGCAAGAAAAAGTAGGAATTTTCACAGTCAGTCTTCTGCGTGCTCAGTGCTCTCTTATTCACAATAACAGGAAATTTTGTAATAAAAATAATCTGAATAAAATAATTCATTTCATTTATATAAAAAATGATATGACATCATGAGGTTTTTCTTGATCTGGTAAAAGTTCATCAGTCCAAAACCCTCAACATAAATGCATGTTGTGATAATAATATCAATCCCAGCGTGGTGATGTAACTATGCAGAATGGTCAATTTTAACTTCAAATGTAAAATAGCAGTCAAATATACTTGAATATACTTGCAGTCAAATATACTTGAATATAATCTAAGCTGGCAAGCAGCCAGAAACACACTCTCTCTTAAAATCTAAAACCTCAATTTAAATAAAATTGTAGTCAAAGACAACCCAATTTACATATAACTCTAAGCTGGCAAGCAGCCAGAAACACACTCTCTTTTAAAATCCAAAACCTCAACTTAAATACTATCTAATTCATTTATATTCTGAAGCAGAAAGCAGAAATTCTAACAAAGGCAAAAATTATAACTAACTAGCTAATTCAAATAATAGCCTTAAAAACAAATAAATTTCATGCCTAAAATATAAAGCAAAATTTAATTTTAAAAACTGATAATTCCTAGTACACTTATTTATAACCAAAAATGAAGCATAAGATTGGACCTAGATTTTGCTCAACCTGATTTAGTTTCTGCCCTCCTTCCTTCCAAAAAAATCCCTCTTTAAGTAATTTAATTTTTGTCAAAATTCACAATAATATTACATACCTTATTTCTTTCTGTCTAGTTCATTAAATATATGATTTAAAAATTTTCAATTATATAATTTCCTTCTTTCTTGAATTTTACTGAGTTTATATACTTTGTGCATGCTTTTAGAAAGCTGTTTTTTTCAAATTTCAAAATCCTAGACAAAGATTTCTCCTTCTATGAGATATAAAGGGAAATGGGCCTCAGGACCACTGTATTGCAAACTGAGCACTTGGACAAAAATTCTTAATTTAATGTGTTAAATGGTAAGCAAAATCAGTACAAAATGTATTCTGTATAATAACAAAAACATAAATTGTTCGGGGAAGATAATAAAAAAATGAGGGACACAGAAAATGAAAGATCCTCTGGAAATACAATCTTCATAACATTTTCATAAAAAAAAAAAGTATAAGAGGTCTTTATACTCCAAAGCAGCAAATATCACCCAAAAGCCCAAAATAATTTCAAGGGTAAAATGTTACTCCATTATCTTTCTCCCTGTGGTCCATATAAAACCACTAGTTACAACAGAACACTACCGTAACTGATGAGACCTCTACAGTTATTTCAGTATTTGTCTCTTCTCCACATGGACGAGAAGCACATGAATCTTTTGAAGTTTCACTTAAAAATTGCCTGAATGCCTTAATTTAAGTTTTTGAATCAGCCAGCGTAATTTTTGCAAAAATGTAAGAGTCAGTTCATGTGAATCAGAATTGCTTACTTTTTTGGAATAGTTATACATGAAAATATTAATAGTAATATTGTAAAATGTAATTACAAGTGTTAAAACATGCCCAAATGAATGGTGTCACATCCACAATACGCAAGCCTGAAATTATATTGAGTTGAATTAGATAATGAAAGAAATAGGAACATTTATTTATAGGGTCAAATTCAAAAAGAAGAGACTTTGTGGACTCAAAACCAGAAAGCATTCAGAGAATGATCCTACAGTATCAAATTATATAACATTCTATAACATAGAAAAAATACTCTAAAATTAGTAATGAAGGCTTCAACTAACAGTAATTACTTGTATATCTATTCATATAATCCTTTTAATGTAGAATTACATTCCATAATGGCCTGATGGGAAAGCAAAAATTAAGATACTATTTGAAGTGTGCATGAATGCTTATATCTTCGAAGCCACAAATCAATCTAACATCATTACTAAGATGAAAGAGCACATTAGCAAATACACACACACACACATTAAAAAAAAAAAATTAAAAAAAAAACTGGACAAAGGATATGCACATGTAATGCATTAAAAATTGCGAAATTTTGCACGTGGCAAGGTCATCTGGTAGAGAGTCAGTGTGTTCAGGTGGTGTTTGCTGTATTTTATTTTATTTCACTAAGCTAGTGGTGTTGAGATTTATAAAAATTTGATGAGTGAATCAGATTGTGTACCAAAAGATAAATAAAAAATTGATAAGCACTGTAACAGAATACAAGATTCAGAAGCAAGTGATATTTATATGTTGATGTAATTGTTAACAGACAGTCAAGATTTATTCTAGCATCCACAGACCGGGTGTCCCAAACTGTCCCAGACTCACCAACCACCCAGTCCAAATGCCATTAATGCACGCTATAATTTCACAAACGCCATGCTGCAACTTATGGATGACGGTGAACTAGATGTTGGCAACATATGGTTCTCAGACAAAGCATATTTTTACCTCGATGGCTATGTCAACAAGCAGAACTCGAGAATTTGGGGAAGCAAAAATCCTCATATTGCTGAACCTTCCTCTCTGCATTCACCAAAAATAATGGTATGGGCTGTGGTTTCTTCCAAAGGAATAATAGCGCCATTTTTTCAAGAGCAAACGATAAATGCTGTACGATATCTTGGGATTCTGGAAGAACTTGTGGAGATTCATACTGCTTTGGAGGACCGTTTGAATGACTCCTGGTTCGTGCAAGATGGTGCTCGTCCACATCGGACACCTGCAGTATTTGATTTCTTGAACGAACATTTCAGTGAGCAGGTAATTGCCTTGGATTACGACATGCATACAGGAAGTGGCATGGCATGGCCTCCTCATTCACCAGACTTGACGCCCTATAACTTTATTCTTTGGGGGTACCTGAAAAATTTGGTATACCGCCAAACTCCACAAACAATTGCAGAGTTGAAGCAGCACATCTGTACTGCATGTGAGACAATTCCAAGTGTCATCCAACTGTTAATTCCGAAAACTTGATTAGTTTGTTTGGTTTACTTGATTACAGCAAAGCACTCATAGGATATCTGCTTAAAGGAAGGGATGCTTTCATGGAGGACTTGCTAATGGAAACTGGCTTGTGTGCACATTACACATGGGGGAAAACAATGAAAACATCCATTCACCGGGATTCGAACCTCAAAAAGAACTACCAGTGTTTAGCAACATTACTGCTTGTCTGCTGGTGGGCCAGAATATGTTCTTGTTTAGGGAATTGATGAAATATTTTGATACTAGTATATTGACTGATAAAGAGTTAACTGTCAATACAGATGTTCTTGTTATTATATTATCATGGGGGATTTCAAACAAAATGAAAAGGCATTTAATTTTATGAAATATTTTAATTTCAGTATGATGGCAAGTAACTATCCAAGTACACTTGGCAATTCATTTATAGATTTAAAATTTACTAAAAATATAACAGCAGACATCTTAAATTGTGTATCTTATTTCTTATATCACTGACCAATTTTACATCGGGTCATTCTGAATGAATAAATGTAATAAATAAAAAATATAATAAAATAAAATATATGTGTGTGTAAAATCTTTTGTTTGTTTTATTTGTTCTACAATATCTTCACACTTATTAGCATACTTGGAACCTATGACACTAAAAATCAGGAGATTTTTAAAGAAATCAGAGATTTGTCACAAGTTAAAAAGACTTTTTAAATGATAAAAATATAGTTTTTAATATGGATTACCTTTAATAGTTACTATTTTAAATGCAAGCAACACAAATATACCTCACACATAAAAAACATTTTTATTCTTCATCGTTAAGGAAAAAAAAAAAAAAAACATTAATCAGTTTTGTACAAATGTTACGTGGCAGATTTTGCTTTCGTCAAGAAAGAACTTCATAATTTTGTTATAGCAATTGCCACGTAGGCCGCTTTACAATAAAAGTTTTCTAGTGTCATCACTAATATTAGATCTTAATTTGTCCTCGTTTTGTACAACACTGAAATCCTCTCACACTCTGCTTACTATGGAGAAATGTCAAGATGGCCAGATATTAGACAGTTCACTATATTTTAAAATTCCATCAGCACCTTTCAGTTTTCCAATTTAAATCACGGGTGTCAATCCTAGCTGATTTTTAACCCTCCAAGTTTTCTAATTGTAAACTGCAAAATTGCGCCTGCAACACTATCAAACATCAATCATCAACTTTCATGACTAAATGAAGTAACACGGGAAAATCTGTTCCAAATACATTATATCAGAAAAAGATGCATTTGCTAGAGCAGAAACATCAGAACTTTCATGCAAAATCACTTCACGTTGACTGGAAATTATGTAGTATGTAATCCATACTCGACAGAAGTAACTTCTAAATGAAGATAAAACTATTTTTGTCTTCTTTCTGAAATCTTCCATATTTGTAGTTGCAGCTCTATTACAAATCTCATCTTTCTTCTGATTTTCTATTTCAAGTAACACATCATATATAGATTAAAGACAAAACACAACTGTTTACAAGCTTTGATAAATGTCTTAAACAGATCATAAACATTGATTGCAAAACTGAATTAATGGAATTCTGCTTTGTAGACTGTGTTAAAACATCGAATGATGGCAAAAGAATTGGAAAAAAAAAATAATAATAAAAAGTTTGTTAAGGTCGAAGAAAAAAACATAAATATTCGTTCTTCCACAAGATAAACTTCAGTAATCGAAAATGCTTGTGTGTCAGCAATTTTTTTTATTTGAGAACTGCCAGTTGAACTGCTGAATGTTGCAGAATTTTTTTTCTCAAACCTATTTTTAACAATAAGTATAACTACATCTCCCTTACTTTTGGTATTTTATAACTTCATAGAGCCTTTTCTCTTTGATGCATTACTTCTTCTTTAAAAAATGCAAGAAGTGGATTTCATTGTCGAGGATTCTAGATAAGCATTTCTTTAAAGACAGCCAGCATGTACACACGTTTACAATTTTTCTATTCAGTATTAGAGCTGTTAGAACTGTTTCAATTTTTTTTTTTTTTTCCTTTTAGAACTCCTTTCAAGATAATAATAAATATCAATGTGTTCATCCACATTTACTAGTAAAGAAGCGCCCCTTTTTCAGCTGCTAAATTTAGAGGTGAAGGTTCACCTCATAATCAAATCTGAATTTTTCCTTTCTTAAGATGCCTGGCAACATCAGTCTTCAAGCCTACATTACTGGTTGCATTATCGGCCCAAGTGCTAGCATTATCCCGAGGTTCTGCATGTTCTTTTAAAGTTTTAATAATTAGCTGTGCTATATTTAAGCTTGTCGTAGACCTTCTAAAGTGGGGAAGAAAATAAATGCACTCATTCTGAAGACTCTGGATTAAAAAAAGAAACAAACAACTGGATACAGTTTGAACGGTATTACTTTCCATCCGTAGAGAGGCTGAATGGACTGTTTTAAGCAATCAATAATGAAGATTTATTTTAAACCCATTTCTTTAAAGACACTTTTTGGTCTGCACTTAAATATTTCTCAGCGACTCACTATCGGAAACATTTTTAAATAAAGATTCAGCGTGAATCCGATGCATTCAGTGGCAGGTTGTGCTCCAGTAAAAAGGCAGAAACAGGCATTCTGCTTAATAACTTTTTGGTCCTTTGTTTCCGAAGAAAATTTAATTTTTCGTTTTTACAAAAACTCATGGTGTCCTTGTGTTTTTGTTAGCAGTTTAGAACATCCATCCTTCCCCAGCGAAATCAAAAAATCACAACGACATGTACACATCGCAAATTTATTACATTCCTTGAGGAAATAATGAAGAAAGTCACTTGTACGATTTTTGAAACGTGCACGAGTATTTCACCTTTCTCGCAGACACAACAAAAGACGATAATTTCTAAAACTCTCTCCCAAAGGCACGTGCACTCACACAACTCAGGACAAGATGAACGAAATAACGAAAGAACATCGAAATAACGGCCCAACGGCCAAAGAATTTTCTTTGCAATGGCCTTGAGCTTGCTTTGTGCTCATTGGCGAATATATGCCAGATGACACGCTGTGGAGCTCGATGCCCAGTGGAGAATGATGCTTCTGGATACGTATGCTCTCACTCATAAAGCAGAAATTCTCGTCTGATTCGCAAGGTTTTGTTTCAGATATAATCTAGAGAAAATTCAATTGCTTTCAGATGTCCAAAATCACTTTTTTTTTTTTTTTTTTTTTTTTTTTTTGTCATATAACAAAGTATTAAGCCAAGTTCCATAAAAATTGTGAGAAATTTCAAGAATAAGAAAAAGTCGGGAGAAATATATTGTAAATCAGGTTGGTGGGAGCGCAGTCGAAAATCGGGAATCTCCCGCCTAAATCGGGAGAGTTGGCAACTCTGCATTAGCATGCCTATGCATTAAACACCAGTGGCTCTTTAAGCTAGAAAAGAGAGCATACTGTCAATTTTTTTATCAAAAATTTCTTTAACTGCAGAAATAGCATAATTTAACCCTTATTATTTTTAGGTTTCATAATCGGTTAAAAATAAAAAAAGTACAAATTAAAATAAGTGAATACAGTATTTTAGTAAACCATAAAAGTTAAAAATATCCTCATTTGTTTCAAAACTTCAAGAATATGCTGGCTAACACTTGTGAGAATGATGAATAACACTTGCTTAAACAAAAGATATTCAACATCACATAAGAGAATCCTTAAACATAAATTATTTTTTATTTTTATTTATTCATTTATTTTTACTCATGGAAATACAGAATAATTTTTATGAAGGTTTCACTTATTAAAAACATGGATTAAAGTCTGGATTCTTGATGAAATTTGGACCACTCTTTACTTAGACCTAGAAGAAAGTATACAACTATACCAACAGATTGTATATCAAAAATGAAGAAAACAAGAGAGAGAATAGTAATTTAAAAGTCAACTTTTAAATCAAATTTAATGTAAATTGGATAAAAAATATAAAAAATTATTTTTAATCACAATTTATAGCAGCCAAATGTACGAATAGCAGAAATGTTAGTTTAAAAACATTAAAGGATATTTATCAAGCATTTTTAAAAATAGAATCTGCAAATATTGAAATTTATTAACTCTTTTGTTACTAATTTTCTACTAGAATTTTTGTTCTATTTCCCTATTTCTTTTTCATGCTTATATAATTAGCACATATATGTATGATTAAAATTCTAAAGTTCTTCTAAAATTCTTGAATTTTTTTTTTAAATAAACTTTTAAGCAATGGAAAATTTAACATACCTATACTTGAGTCTGACGAAGGCTTTTTAACAGTACCAGATATAAACTCAACCTAGAAAAATTCTTTTCATAAGTAAACATGAAATCAAAATGAAATTTTCTATACTTTATATTGTTAAATTCTAGATAATCTTAGCTTGAAAACAAATTTTAATCTTAAAAAAAAGGCCTTATTAATAACAGAACCACAAAAAGTAATTAAATCAATATTATTAAAAACTTGAGTATATTTATCATTAAGTTACATATTACATGTTAAGAAGTATCAGAGAAGTATCGGCCTATCAGATTTAAAAATCAGGACTTTCTAAGCAATACAAATAATTTTTAAAAGAAAAACATGACAAAAGAAAAGTTTTCTTAAATAAAATAAAAAATTAAATAATGAACTAAATTTAAATGTTATCTAAGGAATATCTGGAAGTGCAATCACTAATTCATATATGTAGATTGTAAATAAATACTTATATATACAAAATATTTTTATTATCCAGCTCTCTTAATATAAAAAAAAAACACTTTATTTCATTGCCAACAAAGGTGGCAGATTGATCACCCCTCACTGTCTGCACTGCTATAAGAAATTACCAGAATAGCCAACATTACTAGAGACAATGAATTTAAAAAAAACATTTAATGTCTTCTAGTATTCCAACCAAACTGCAGTGAGTAACAATCTGTGATGGTATTCAGCTTTTCTAACTAGGAAATTGACCATGATTTATAGTAAGATGAATTTGCATAGCATACATATGTATGATTTTATCATGTAAAACCACTTTATTGTTGACTGGAAATTTATAAAATATGTAATCATATACTTGGCACAAGTAGAAACTTAAACATATAAGCATGTAAACTAGGAAAAAAAAAAAAAACTTATCTAACATGAAAAGGACATGCATATATAGTTATATAGTTCCTAACATGTGCAAAAAACTTTCTGTCTCCTTCTGAAAGTTCTTGTTCTGCTTTGTTAGTTGCTGTCAATTTCATTAAACTTTCATCATTTTCCCAGTGTTTTATTACCATAATTCACATGATGTAAAATAGCTTTGGTTTTCTTTTTAAGTAGTCTGCAAAACATCCAGAAATTTCTGAGTTCATAAATCTTGTTTTGGAGCAAAAGCGACAAAAAATAACAAGAAATTTTAAGAACAGAAAGGTCAGGTAAATTACAAATCATTCCGAATCATACTGGCAGAGGTATGTTAAAAATTCAGGATTCTCCTGCATAAATTAGGAAAGCTGATATATTAAAGTTCATATACATGCTATAATAATGATCTACAAAAAGCATGTGAATACAGTGTGTTTAAAAAAGAATATACGTATTTCAAATGCATATATTTATTAAACTGTATGACATACGATTATGAAACTTTACACACATATGTATGAACCTCTCAAGTTCAGATTACAGATGTTCAATATGTCCTCCACCACGACATGAAAACACACATTGATACCAAAATCCTCCCATACTCGGCAATATGTCCATCGTCCTAACGTTATGAAGACAGATATGGTTCTTCAACTTCAGTTCTGTGGGGTGTGGTACATTTCATTCAGATAACAGGCCTTGGCGACACCATCGTGTGCCCATCTGTTGAAAAATGAATGTCTTCAGAAGCCTCGAGCACAGTTCTGTACATAGTGATACTCGACATTAACCATGTTTCTGTGAAAGAGAATGGGCGTAACAGATGATGGGATTCGCCAAACCATTGATTTTTGGCGAATCCATACATGTTCAATGGCTGCACGGGTTATTAGGCCCCGATTAGAACATTGTTTGTTTCATGACCACAAATGTAAATTCGCTTCATCAGTGAACACGATTTGAGAAGTGTTTCATTGTCATAGCACAAATAATCTCGTTACAATGCCACTATTTGCGTTTTCATCAGGTCGCATGCTGTAAAATGTACTGTACAGCTTCATAACCAGTCTCAAAACACGCCATTGTATTGTTGTAGGCAGTTGTACCCCAACTGGCACATAGTTTGACTGAGGATTATTGAAAGCAGTTTTGAATTTGGCGACATTTTGTCGGGAACTGAGGCGGCCAAGACTCTTTCCTTTACATCACATCTGTATTACAACTGTCAATACCATCTGTGAATGTTTCACCCATTCAGAGGATCACTTTGGTACCTCAACTCGAAACCTCTTTGCACTGTAATCACGGAATTGCACTTCGCAAACTCGAGTACACAAAGTGATTTCTGCTGTGAAGTAGCTAACCATTTTAAACATGTGACGGTTACCACAGAAGACAACTGACATCTGGCGGCTATTAATATAAACTAGACTATGTATTCGTTTCGCCAATAGCTGAGCCGAGGCGCAGTGATCGATAGTTTGGACTAAATAACATTTTGTAATACGTATATTCTTTTTGAAACACTCAGTATAATACAGGTATTATTTTTTACAATTCATTTTCTTATTTTAATTATTAGGTTTTTAATTTAACTGCATCCTCTATACAAGTTATCTGCTGAAAAACTTACCTTTAAAGGTACAGAATTACCTAGAATAACATTTGTGTATTTTTTCAATTACTCTAAATTAATCCCTCCCCCCTCACAATTTTTTTTTTTTTTTTTTTTTTTTTTTTTTTTTTTAAATTTTAAGAAATGGTTTCAAACAACGCCATTTTTAACTCACCTTTGTTCGCTCTTTTTTCTCCTTCTCTCTCTTATCCATTTCTTCTTGTCGTGGCTGGGAAACACGAAAGAAAGAATTTTTTGCATTTTATGCAAGTGTGTGTATATATTATATAATAATATGCAAAATATCATACATAAAATATGCTAAAGGGGGGAAAATCCCCTGAAAAACTATACACTTATATTTCCAGTTTTCAGAAAAATATGAAATAAAAATTCCACATTTTAATTAGGCCACATTCAGTGCATGAAAACAGTTCAGTTTAAAACTAATAATTTTTGGAATAATCATTTCACTTTATTTTAGTAGGTGTTCAAAATGACCATCTGTTATACTCAAACCTACTTATTCCCTCAACATGGTGTCTGTGCATATTATTCTTGATAAATTAAAAGGTTACTTAAATTTACTTTATGATTTATAATGTTTAATATATAGTTTATTTTACTTCATATGGCACCATGATTTCTCATTGACATTCTTGCAAGCTATGGATTATAAATGTATTGTTTTTGGTCCCCCTTTTTACTCAATCAAAACAAGAAATATTGCTATGCAGAATATGCTGTTAACAGACAAAAATCATATTGCTTTGATTTTTTTTTTTTGAATGCATGAATAAGATCAAATATGAGTGATTTTTTACCTTTGATTTTTTGAATGCATGAATAAGATCAAATATGAGTGATTTTTGACTAACTCCTTTTCCCTAAAAACCAGAATGAAATAAAATTTTAATGTAATTATGCCCATCCACTTTTATAATGAATGCCAAATTCTTTTATAAGGAAACAGACAGAATTTAATTCTTTAGAGTTGCCATCATGATACTGTGTTTTGAGAACAAAATATTTTATGCAAAAAGTATAAAATTTTATCAATACAAATTATTCATGTTTGCACAAACTATATGATCTGCACATTATATATTAATTTAATCTTAAAAAGTTCAAAGTATTATTTTTAGCATATCAAATTTTAATTATTTTATAATTAATTAGAAGGGCCTTTTTTCCCCCTTAGCTGCTAAAAGTGGATTTGACATCATCCAAAATGTTACATTAGTTCCATTTATTTTTCATCTATTTTTATGCAAAGATATATGAGGATTATTTGACAATGTAATAATTCATTAATGTGAAAAGAAATAATGCAGATGAGTAAAGATGAAATAATACTCCTCTATTAAAATCAAACTTTTAAAATAATTACATTTATCACAAATGTAATATCTAGGACATTAAAAGTACACGTTGCATACTAAGGATATATTTAGATACTACTGCTACTACTGAAGATATATCTTTAAATACAGTGGAAAATGGAAAGAGGATGAAATTTTATATATTGTACTAAAATGAATTAACAGCACAAATAATTAGTAGTTTAATAATAATTAGTAATTGAATAGTTTAATCTTTCACTTGGTGCTATTCCTGAGAGGTATGTTTCTCCATACTCTTTAGCAGAGAAATGTATCTTAAACACAACCATGTTGATTGAATACTTAAAAGTAGCTTAAATAAGCAAAAATTATCAGCATTCCAGTTTTAGAAACCTTCTGAATATAATCCACAATACAAAAATTTAAATAAATAAGCTACTGCTTGTTTTTTTAATTAACTTTTCAATTTAAAGAAAAGTCTTAAAGAAACACTTCTTTGAATTCCATATAATGCATTCCAGTTTATGTTTGACTGCATTTATCATATCAGTATTTCCAAAAGAACTCTCAAACAGTGATAAAATATCAATATTACTTTTATAACATATCCACTGAAAGAATGAATTTGCATATAGAAAAATGCAAATATTTTTTTAATGCAAAATATTCACAAACAGAGAAACAGCTAAACTGTCAGCATTGCAATTAAATTTTAAATATCTAAAAAAATTCAAATATTATTTTACCTAATTCTTCATAAAAAGATTCAGGACCCCAACAATGAGGATCATATGTTTCCTAAAAAGGTATAACAATAATTTAGAATCAGGTGACCAAATAAATGGACAGATTTTAACTATGCTCTTCAATCATTTGATATAATGCTTTGCTGTGAGCTAAAAATAGCAAATGAAATGCAATATTTAAAAGAGTACAAATATGCAATATAATGTAGATTTAGCTTTTAAAATAATAAAAGTAGTTTTTTGTATATTTCTAAAGAGCAGTTACAGACTTGTAAGAACCTCTCTCCCCTCCTTTTTTTTATACAGTGAAGCAAAACAAGCTTCACAAAACTAAGCAAATAAGCTTTATGTTTGAATAAGCAAATAAATTTTATATCTGGAATCAGATGGTTGTTGTGTGTTCACTTTGTTTATTCTATAATATATTTTTAAACTAAAAATTTTCCAAATATTGGTACTATATACAGTCTACACAAAACAAAATATTAGAAACTAAGATGTAAGTGTTTGTTCCTAATTGAAATTATTAGCTCACTGTATCTAAGAACTCCAAGACATCATTCTTTATACTTTTTACCCCATTAAAATTGCATACAAAAATCCAATACAAAGTTCTAAGGATCAGTTTTACTTGTTTATTTATTTAGTTACTAGTTTATTAGTGTCAGTAATTTTTATATTTTGTATGCTAATGATTTCAGCTTTGGTGATCTATGCATCTTATACTTAAGCTAATTCACTTTTTTTTTCCCTTCGAATTCTTGCATCACAGAATATATTGTATTATTGGTAGATGAGCCAACTACATATATTTGAAATTTATTCTCCTGATTATATTACTAAGAATTAAAATATTACAATTGAAATGATTTAAAAATCAAAGTAACACCAGATTTCTAAATAGCAACACAAATTTAGCAGTGAAAAAAAGGTAGCTTCTTATAGCAATAACATGATTAACTGAAATATGTTCAACAATCAGAATGGAATACTAACTGAAAAAGCATTAATAATTAAAGTAAAGAAAAAAATAAATAAATAAAAATAAAAAATAAAAGCAAACTACCAATTCAAAAGAATTAGCACAACACTGTTAACAACCCAAATATGAGAAAACACCTAACAAGAGACATACAAAACTTAAACTGAAAAATAAAAACCTAAATTAACTGGGAATTAATTAAGAGAAGAAATGGAAGTTCACGTAATGGGAAATTAGCAATCCGATCTTAAGATTTTCGACTAAAATTTTCAGCAATATAATATAATCAATAATAATATCAGGAATTTAATTACAATCCATTACCTATGAAATTTTCAGAAGGTCATGTGAGCTTATAAACTTCTGACATCATAAAATCACATAATATCTCACATCACATGCTAAGTTTTGTGACTTTTCAATTTTTTTCTACTTACTTTAGCTCAAAAATATTTTGCAACATTGTGTCTAAAGCTTATTTGCTTAGTTTTGTGAAGCTTGTTTTGCTTTACTGCAACTTTTTTGCAGTTGTTGTTGTTCAATACTTTCTTTTGATTTTACAAGTTCTGTAACTGCTTCTCTTCATAAATATGCAAAATAGAACTACTTTTATTATTTTATGCGTGAAACCAGAGTTTCTTAAACTGTGGGTTGCCAAAAATTTTAGCAGTTTTTGATATTTCTTTAACTTATAATAATTTTTCAGTTACCAAATATTTTTACACAATGTATCTGAAAACAGATAAAGATAGGACAATACCAACAATGAAAAAATAAAAAACGTTTCGATGCATTCATTTTATAATATAAACGTTCATTTTACTTGCTTTGCACATGAAACTGTCATTTCGTCTGTTACTTATTTAAAGTTTTCACATTTTTCTATGTTTTAAAATTAGAAAATTAAAGTTAATGACCTAAAACTGCAATAGTATATTATAGTACAAGTGAAAAAATTGACACTTTCACTCATGTGTGTGCTGGATTTATGCAATGCTTATGGGGGTCCCACAAAATTTTCGTAAAAAAATCTCAGTGATATAAAGGGGTCGCGATTAAAGAAAGAAGCCCTACTTTAAACAAGAACTGTGCTTCAGTAAATCAATTTTACGTACCCTCAGTTCAAATTTATGTAAATTGCAATAAGCTTTTTGTGTTGTTTGTTTTCATTCTTCACAGCCAATTCTCAAATATGGATAATTAAGGCAAGCATTTTGAAAGCTTGTGCTGAATTTTTTCATGTTACACATAATTCCCATTTTAATTAATACAGCATATAATCTGACTTAATTTTGAATCCCATTCATAGATCACCAAAACATTAAAAGTAAAGTAAATCTTGCTGAATCTAAGGTTTACATCATTAATACATTGTGCATAAGGCAAAATCGCATTCCGCAAATCGCATTCCACAAAGTTAACTTTCTAGCGAAAATTTGGATTAAGTTTAGTTCAGATTAAAAAAGTATGTGTAATTTATACAAGCCTCATTATCATTGTAATTAAAAGGGGAAAGTGAACCAATGTTAATTGAAAGGTACTTAACTGCTTAAAAAGTACATATATGTTTTTTTTTTTTTTTTTGTTTTTTTTTTTTTTTTTTTTTTTTTTTAATTATTATTTTATTTATTTATGCAGTGATTTTTGTTTAGGGCAAAGTCTAGCGCAACTCAATAAATGTTTTGCAGTAAGAAGAGCAAAGTTTTTCAGTACCTCTCATAAACTGTTCTCTTCTTTGTTTATTTGGGTCAGTTTCTATTACAAAATCAAACAGTTTTCGTGCCTTTTTTAAAAAATTCATTTAACTTCTTGTACATTAAAGGCTTTTTATCTTCTCCATTAATGCTGCTTTCTCTACTGACTAGTCTTATAAGATCCTCCAGTTCTTAATTTATCATTTCACGATTATCATTCCAAACTATTTTTTTAATTTCTCCATCTTCCATGTCTGAAAATCCTTCGCCACCTATTGTTTTTGTAATTTGTATGATTTCCTTGGTTTCATTTTCAATCAATGGAAATCCTTTAAAACTGCTGACACCTTCTAACCAATGCTGAATGCCAGCAAACATTCATTACTGATAAAATCACTTGTTCTCATGTTAGTTTAATCATTTATAAGCAGTGTCTTGTGTGGAACTGCTTCCAAAATAGTATGAGAGTTTTGAGCTTTCCTTTCTCTAAAACTATGTTTGAAGAGATGTAAACATGCTTGACATAACAGGATTTGAATACTTTTATGATTTCAGGATCCATTGGTTTGATTAAGGAAATGGTGTTAGGTTGAACAAATAAAACCTCTAAATTTCAATACAATATTGCAAGAACTTCAGTAGTATTTCTTGGAGCATTCTCAAGAATTCAGATAACTTTAAAGCTCAAGCTTATTGTTTTAAGTAATACTTAACTTCTTTAATGAATGAATTTTCAAACCAGTCATTAAAAAGAACTATCACACCTGATCACAAATGGACAATGCTATGCAGCCTGCCACATACAGTTGGAATTCACACACTGGATAAACTAAATGGAGACAATTAAGAAAATGTGTATACACAAAATCACATTCTGTATGTCTGTGTTTAGCAAGGGTTTACTGTAATTAATGAATCACATGAAAATACCAAGTACTATTGCTAGCAATATTGAGTGCACATGCACTCATGGGCTATGATTACCAGTTACCATGTTTATTTAACCCTCTCAAGTTTTTAAGAAAGAGCAGGTATTGATGCCTAAAGCATCACCAGCTTATCAACGAAGCTTTTGAAAAGTGTGGAACGTTTCTTTCACTGAATGCACCAAAAGCAATAAGAGCATTTTTAGAACATTAAGCATTTTTTTTAACACCCACACTTGCATTGCACAGAATCATTAGACGAACTGATTAGTGTCGGGTGTAAAAGTATCAATCACTGTCAAAAGTTTGCTCTTTGGGAGTTTTCAAGAAGATATATGTTTGAAAGTGATCTGACTAGTAATTGTTTGCCTTACTCAGAGATTGTGTTACTAAATTAAAATTTTATGGAAAACTGCAAATTAAAAGAAAATGATTATAAGAATATTATATAATATTAAAATTATATAATATTATATAATAAATAATTATATAATATTAAAGAAAATAATTATAAGTGTTTAATTTTTTTTCTGTTCGCATACCTCATTTTTATGTATATGTACAGTGGATGGACAAAAATATGGAAACACCTTGTGAAATGCATGTTTGAAAAGAAAGATTGATTTTAATGAAATATGTAGGTGGCGCTGGTGTTTTTGACTACTGACGGCACCTATACAACTTCGTAAACGTGCTAAACAGTTCAGTTCTTAAGACACAATAACATGCCGAATAAATACTAATTCAGAAGTCAAACAACCAAAATCAGCGTTATATTTACAAAATTTTCACAGGACTAGTTTCGATGGTTTTAACCAAACCACCATCCTCAGCTGCAAAACCGCAAATGAAAAGATAGGAAATAATGATTAGATAAGATAAGAAAGCCTTGACAAAATAAGCAAGTAGCGCCATCTGTTTGTGAAACCAGAACTAAAACATAATTTCTTTAAGGCCGAAGCAAATTTGATTGAATTAGGATCGTTACTAGAACGAAAGATTTTTATGAATGTGAATGCCTCTAGAAATCCTTCTCCATGGAAGATGTTTTTGAATATTTTGGCAGCAGAAAAATTGAAAGTGTGGTTTTCGGACCAACAATGTTGACAACAGAAGACTTCCTTCCGTGCTAACATATGCCTCATGTTTCCTTTCGCGAAATTTTAAGGCTCTCTTAGTTGCCAATGTAATTAAACCACACTGGCAAGGAATCCATAAATACCCAGGAATTCATATCCGATGGGGTCCTTGAGTATGGAACTCGGAATTTTATTGATGGAAGACTAAACAACCTGAAAGTTAAATTTCTGAAAAATACGTGCAACTTAATAGCAAATCGATGGAGAATTTTTATAATCACCTAAAACAAGAATGTGTCTTTTGTTGTGTTGAGATGAGAATATTTTAACTGCTTGATTAATAATATTGGGTGAAAAGCCCCTGTCAAAAGCTATTGCTTTTTATAGTTTGGAGCTTCATCAAGGGATAGTTTGGAGGAGCAAACTTGAAGAGTACGGAAAACATAAGAATAAAATAAAGCTAACTTTTATTTTCGCATTGGCTGTGCTGAGGTAATTAACCTAGGTACCCTTAAAACAACGAAAAATTATATCTTATATATATATATATATATATATAATGTAATTAAGGCGAACAAACTAAAAAGGCCTTTGTGGTCAAGGATTTTGCACATTGAGCTGCAAAAAATTAGAAAACAAGGTAAAAAGAATATTCTTAATGCTTCGGCTAAAAAGTTGCTTTGATACTGTGGTTCCGGTAAGTAAAATAAAGTGCAGATTCCCCAAAGCATTTCTTTCATAACTATAATAGGAGTTGTTTTCTCCCCTGAGGATTGAGATTAGAATCTTAGCAATTGGGATTTAAAAATGCCTTTTCTGCAGACATTTTGAAAATAAAGGAAGAAAGAAATCTATCTAATGATATTTTAAAATATATTCAAGTATTTTATATTTATTTAGCAGCATACATAAGTAAAATATGTGTACAAAAGTTTTTGTTGGTATGCCATATTACAGCTAAAATTAGTTTCACTAGTATGGCAGAGAAAAATTGCCTGAAATTTTAAAGTAATATTAACTAATAATACATAAATTTAGAAGGAAGAAGACACATTAAATGATATGGATAACATTAAAATAAAGTTAATTACTTAAGGATTAAAAATTGAATTACAGAAATTGGCAGTATTTTGGAGAATATAGATATACTAAATGGTTAGCCTAGATGATTATTATTATTATTTTTAACTGCAAAATGATAAATAAGGCATTTAAGAAAGAAGAAAAGGGTTTAAAAGATTTTGTTTTATACGAGAATCGGGGGAATTTACTTTTTTACTTTTATTCAACATGCACTACACATGTGCATGCAAATTTTTGCATTCTCGAGGTTACTGGAAACCAAAGATGCTGGAAATCTGCTTTTACTTTCTAAAAGACAATTTCAATGGCACTGTGAAAACTGGCTCTATGCCAGCTGTCCAAACGACACTCACATGGTGCATGATTTGCCAAGAAAGTTATTGCTTCCAACGCTGGCACGAAAACTGCTTATTTTGGAGGACATTGCAATACGAAATTCCCTCATTTTTCCAGATTTTGAATAAAATATTAAACATCCTGGACATTTTTGGTCAATTTTTGAACTCCATGACTTTTCCCGGTTTTCCAGGTATTGTGGCAACCCAGGATTCAAGATGAACAAAAAATACCTTATATTTATTAATTTTATTTATGAAGATGAACAAAATGTACCTTATATTTATTAATTTTATAAAATTTTCTTTCATCTCCCCATTTTTTACAACTCACAATGGAAAACGATTACAATGACATAAACGTTCACCGAACAAAAAAGCAGTCACAAAAGGCTTTTTTAAAAGAAAAAAAAATTAAATATAGGATTATGTAATTTTCTTTATCCACTATTAATTAACATGCAACCGTGTAATATGCCGATAGTCTAATGAAGAGATATTTATGACAACTATACTGATGATCATATTCACATAATATTTATATTTTTCAACGATATCTTATCAGATATAATGTAAAAAAATTAATTCTATACAGTTCATTTGAATAAAATGACAATAAGTTAATGCAAATCATTGAAAATAACTATTTAATCAAAATATCTTTAAAAAGGAAACTTACAGGAGGATAATTAGTTCCTTGTTCATCAATATTACAAAACTGTATTAATTTTTCATATATGCGAAAAAATATACAGATTACTGTTGAAACCTGAACAACATTAATTAAAAAAAATTAAATAATAAAACTTCTACCTTGGATTCCTAAAATCTTTGCGCCTTTGAATTGATGCATTCATATCTTTCCCTTCTTTTTTCTTCTCGTACAATTCACTGATTTTTTCCTAGGCAAATCACAATTGCATTTGAATTAAATACAATAACTTAATAAAAATTAAAAACCAAATGAATATCATAAACCAAATTCTGTTTTTCCTTAAGCTCAATTCAAAAATCATGAGAGAGATGTTTTGATATTGATACAACATTAATTCTTTGACAGCAGTGCATAAATTTGCTTAATATATAACAAAAAATAATAAATGAAATATAAATACGTTACTATGCACTTTAAACTAGATTCAGTATCTGGAATTTTTCAGAATTTAACACAAAAGAAATAGGAGATTTTTTTCCTTACTAAAAAAAATCTAAAGCTACAGTTTTCATAAATACACCTTGTAAATGAATGAGTCGAATTCAAATCAAAAATGAATACACTTAACATATATTAGATGAAAAAGAAAAAAAGACGTAGCAATGCTAATGGTGTAGCATGTAGATAGTTTAGAATGTAGATCCATATTCGGTCGGCCTCCAGTGGAACGGTGCTTCTGAATAGCTGGGTACCTGTGCCTCGGCACTAGCCCATGTAGAATAATTAAGACATTGTGAATTATATTAAGATTAGCCGAAAGACTCAAATAATGAGTATATATATGTTACAAGAATACTGTTATTTTTCAATGAGTTTTATATTAAATGGAATGATTGAATTTGATCAAAGATTAATCTTTGAATTTTTGTTTATCAGCAGGCCAGAAAGCAGTCAAGCTGGTGAGTGTGCCCTGAAAGTCAAGATGTTAATACATAGAAAGAAAAGTGATAGAATTTTGGTGCCAAGTAGTACAATAATGCGAGCATGATCAACATGTATGGAAATACAGATAATAAATAGGTAATAAAAATACAGTAAAACAATATATAAAGTCACATAGAAACATATTTACAGTGAATGTATTACAATAATTACATAATCCAGATTTTTAAAATAGCCAATGGCCTATCTTTGTTATCAAGGTTATTGTAATCATATGTAACAATTTTAATAGCTGGGTTCTCCAACGTACTTTGTTTTTCATGAAACTTTTTCACTATTTTATAATAGAAGGATCTTATCATACATACTCCAAGTTCCTCATGAATGCAATTATTTCTAATATACCAAGGAACATTTACAATTTGTCTGAGCATAATATTCTGGGCAATTTGAAGTTTTCCTCTATATCTATTGCAGGCATTAGCCCAAACAGGGCACAGAGTGATGGACGCAGAATGGATTTATAAATGAGCAATTTGTTATCTATGGGATAAAACACTGTTTCGAGCAATTAAGGGGAAGAGTCTAGCTTTACGAGCTCAAAACTTCAGTATACTAGCTGTAATGTGTGGGTTCCATGAAAGTGTCCTTACTGAGGATCACCCCAAGGTAAGGGACTTGCTTGGCCCAGGGAATGGAGCTTCCTAGATCCATATTGAAGAGGAAGAACTCTGATTGTGTAGAATGCTAAAATGTTGAATCTGTAATGACTAGGAAACTTGGCAGCCCAGTAAGATTAGATATTCATATTTATTTCAATTGACATTTGTGGCCACAATTTGCTAGAAACTCTAAACGTCCTTATTCAAGAATGTTTACTTTTTTAATATTGATGCAATAGGAAGACAGCACAGGGAAATAGCATCATTACAGGAACAGAGGCAGAAGTTTAAGTGTGCAATTATATAATATGGCAGTTCACCAAGATAAAGTTTTGGTTTAAGGTAGAAAGGTTTCAGTTCTCCAAATTTTGAGTTCAAGTTCCGAATTAGTTACATCATCTGTATCATGCAAGCCATATGACATAGATTAATTTAGAAATTGTGCAGTCCAGAAAGGTTATTACTACTTTTAGAATACAGAGAGGAAATATCCAAATTAAAAATGAGGAATTAAGAACCTATTACAAAATTAAATTATAAAGCTGACTTACATATTTTTATATCACATATTTATATATGTGGGAGTGCTAAAGTTTTGTAGCCACTAGAGGGCACTACACAACAGAGGGAGCATTCCTTGTGTACCTGAGAGAGGGCGGAGACTGTTGGCGGAGACAGACTGGTCGAACTACGTGAAGGTGTGTCTAGTGTGAAGGTGTGATGATAGACTTTTGATTCTGTGAGTGCAAGAAGGTGTGCCAAGTGATTGTAAAAATGTCAAGTGGTGCAAAATTTCTTTGTTTTTATCTAGCACCAGGAGGCACTAAACAACTGTTGTATTTCACATTAATCTGTTGTGCTTAAATACAGTATTAAGTGTTCTGTGGCATAAAAAGAAGAATTCTCATTCCTTTCAAAGTAATATCATTCAATCCCCCCATATATATAACTGCTCAATAAATAGACTTGGATACAATATTTTTATAAAAATATGCACTACGACACAAAATGACATTTTAAATAAAATTAAGTAGTGTTGGCACTTAATTATAACTTAAGCTAGGCGCAACAGAATATATTCATGAAATTATGCATAGTTAATGTGGTTGAAATAAATTTATAAACTACATTAATTTGAAATGACATCTATACAAATTGTACAGTGTTGCACTAAGAGAAATGATACATTCAATGTTCTGTTTTTCATTTAAATTTTCAATAAATGATATTTGTACACATATTACAATCAAAACAATTAAAATTTTTTACTTCCTTTCCACATTTTCTGCAAGATTTCTTGCATTTACAGCATTTATCATTATAGAGCCTTGCATGTGCAGCAACAATTTTTTTACTAAGTTTGTCAATGTAGCATTGTACACAAAAATTTAATTTTGATTCCTGATGATAAACTTGTGGAATAAAGCATGAAATCAACTTAACAGTCACATGTTTCCATCAATATTCTTCGAAAAGGTGAATTAAAAAATTCCTATTAAAAATTATCATGAAATAAAAGAAAACTTATATGAAACATACATGAAATAAAAGAAAGACTCACAAAATATAATTCTAAAGATACTTACCTATATGAAAATAACATATGATATGTACATAGTAAGCATATACCCTCCATGTGCACTAATAGGTGATATTGTAAAAAAGGTTTTGGAAAATATACAATGTTCAATAGCTTATGCCACTGATTTTACTTATACAACGAGGCGTTTTGTAGCCACCAGAGGTACAACGAGGAATGCAAGATGTTTAAAAAAGAAACATCCAGTTTGAAACACATGCATTATGAAAAATATTGAATACAGAAACTTAAGATTAATTCTATATTGTATGTTAATCATAAAGTTTTTCTACAAACCAAATTAAAAGTGATCAATATGTTCAACTTTGGATATACGAAATATGCCTATATGATAGTCAAATTTTAAGTTAATATAACAACAAAATTTTAAAAACTAAACCTAAATCTGAAAGGAAAAAAATTATCTACTACTAATATGATGAAGGATGTACACACTTAAATCTCACTAAGTATTATTGAAATCTCATTGGATAAAAGATTAATTATCACACTTTTATAATGTGAAATCTATTAGTAAGAAAGCAAAAAATGAAACTGGAACTCTTCTGTTATCAGGACCAAATTGAGAGATGTAAGCATGTATGCACCTGTATATGAATGTATATGCTCATGCATGCATCTATATAAATATGTATATATGTATGTGTTTATACATTCACATATATATATGCACATACATCCACACACATGCATACATACATACATTATTGGAATCTAAATCCGGTCCCAATAACAGAAGAGTACTATGAAACTTTTACTGCTCCACTGTGTACGAAAAACTACAGAAACATTAATAGGGGAATTTTCTTCCACATTTTCTGATTTCTGGCATTATAGCTTAATGTAAATTTTTTCACAAATGCATTCAATACTACTGCAGTAATGAATCTGCGATAATTTTGGTATTATTAAGTGGAAAGGATTAAAGATAAAATGTATTTATTATCTTTACTATGTATAAAGATACATATATCAAAAAAAATTTTGTTTATTTATTATTAAAACACTGAGATTAGAAAATTAAATTAGTAATAAGATTTTTTCCAAAAATTAAACTATGTGTCATGAATAGTTTTTAAAATTTTTATTGTAATCTTAGTAATAAAAAGGTTGCAAACCCTACTGTACACATATAACAGAAGCAATTAAGCAACTGTATTATACACAGCAAAGTGCAAAAAACTGAATTTTCTTGTTCCTTCCAAAAAGATGATGAATGTGCACAATTTAAATCAGTGTGACTGGGATGCAAACACATGGCAACAAAATAAGGGCTCTCTTCCAAATAAGCTTGTTATAGTTTAAGGCCATAAAATTACATTTAATGGGATAAGTCAAAGCTTCTCAAAGAACTGATTTATAATAATAGTAACTTTTAATTACTAAATGCTATAGATCTGCGGTTCTCAACCTTTTGACTAACTTTTGACATCTAAATAAAAATTGAAATCCTGTAGTACCACCACTACAAAGTATTACTATCACCACCACTCTTAAACAAAGCTCAGATAGCATAAATTTACGATTGTTACAGAAAAAACTCAATCAAAATGTTAAGGTTTTAATTTTTGAATTTAATAGTTAAAAATACTTTGCTTCTTTACGTACCACCTATTTTTCTTTTGCGTACCACCAGTTAAGAACCCCTGCTATAGATGAATAACATCAATACACCTGCATGTTATAACAGTAAAATCAAATTATATAAAAGTAAAAATAGATTCTCAGGTGACAAAACAGATGCCAATACGAGTTTACATTGATATTAAGAAATAAATTACTTGTGGGCATGCCATTTTCTCAGAATTATGTACTGCACATACTTTCTCAACACTTTGCTCTCTCTTCCAGTCCATATACATTATGTTTGCTTTTCTTGGTAGCTATAAGCTTTTGGGATAGCCATCAATGGAAGTATTTTTCAAATATTAATATACACATTTTCAATTAAAAGACTAAATTCAGCAGAAAATTTGGCAATTTTTCTAGACACGGCATTTATAAAATACTGAAAAGAATTTATATACATTCATATCCAACAAGCAGAAGAAAATAAAGGTAACATAAAAACATTTCAATAAATTGAAAATTCGATTTATTCAGGAAAATAGTCCAACTTCTTAGTGTTTTACAGTATCATTTTAATGTCAAAATCAGCAGAGAAAACTCTTCTTTTTTTTTTTTCACAAGCTGTTGGTTGAATAAACATGGAACAGCCTATTTATCATATTAATTTTAAAACATTAGATTTTCTACAATTAAGTAATTTAAACTTTTTAACAACTAAATGCCATCAAAATTCTGTTGTTGCTGCTAATATCTGCATTTGGGCACATAGCCATATATAAAAATTAATTAATGAAAGAGCATTGATAGGGTCACAAGAAGTGCTTGTTTTTGATAACATATACAGCTCTAGGCACATTTTCAATTGACATCATAATGAAGAATGCAGTTATATGACATTTGAAGAACACACTTTTCCTCTACCAAAAAACTCAAGATATCATTTAGACTGACAAATTTTAAGTACTCACATTCTACAAAAATAGTACCAATTACAAATGGCCATGTTGTACCTGGAATTTAGACTCAAGATCAAAGTTTTGACAGATGACTACGCAAACCTTCTTACTGTCTGAGGTGGCATTTTCCCCTTCTTGAAGTATTTCCTTGAAAATGATCAAGTAAGACAGTATTTTTTTTTTTTTTTTTTTTTTGCGTATACACAGTTGTTGTTGAAAATAAAAATTTCGCAGTCAGTTTTACTTAGTTAACAACAATAAAAAAATTTTAATATTTAATTTATCAAAACAACAGTTCTTGAATGTAGACATATCCATTAATACATATTTTCATAAAAGATGATAATGAAATACAAGATGTTCTATTTGATTACATTTTAAAACTTATTTAATGATGAATACATGCCATTTAATTACAAGGAGGGAAAAGGCATATTTTGAAAATCTAGAAACCATTTCCCAAATAAGGAGGAAGTATTATAAAATTAAGTTCCAATAAAACATATTAAAGCTAGAGATTTACAGCATGGTTTCTGAATTTTGTATTACATTTATAACATGAAGCATTTTTATATGATTCAAGATCGAAAAAAATTAACTCTTGCTATCTCTGCAAGTAATATGTAACATTTGTCACACATTAACTTCAGGTCATTTACCTCTATTATAAAAAAAAAAAAAAAAAAATTCAAGCAAAGGAATTATCCCCTTCCAAAAAAGCTAAAATTAATTATCTAAAAATAAATTACCTGTAATGATTTAGAACATCTGCCAGATGGTTCCACAGGGAGCTGGATTTCATGTTTTTTCAAATTTAAAAGGCTCCGATGAAAAGAAACTAAAAAAGGAATAATTTTCATTAACGAAAAAAAAAAAAAAAAGTACAAAAATGTGACAGTTTTCATAAAAATTTTATCAATTACATCTTCTTTCCCTAAAAAATATGTGATTAAAAAATCTCTCATAATTTGTTTCAAAACCAAATATATAAAAATTTAATTTCCTCATACTGCTAGTTTCCTTTTCCTTACACATTACCTACATACGAAACCAAACATGCACTCTAAAATAATATACATTTCTCTCTCATAAACCCTATTTTTAAAAATATAAGATAAATTCTTAGAATTAAAATTAAAAGAAAATAATAAATTCAATCATTTCATTGTCAGAAATAAATAGATTTGATTTCAAACATATCTGTATTTTAATTTTGTACTGACTGAATAGTGCTGCATTATTTTATTATTTACATAATTTACTACAAGCTTTGCAAGTAATAAAGCAATGCAATTTTTTCTCACCTTAAAAGTAACTCAACAGAAGACCCACCCTGCCGTAATGTTCCTTGATACGCCACTGCTTGGGATATTACTCAAGATCTCTATAATCTACATCTGTATGACCATGCATCATCATTAAAACTATGAACTACAAGGGTACTACATTTATCATGCCCTGAATTTCAGCAATAATTTTCTTGAAGTTTAAAATGTTTTCTGAAATTAGACAAAATCAAATCTTTCAGTGAATTGGGATTTCATTTCTTCATTATTATTAAATTTATACCGTAACTGCTTGTTTTTTTCCATTATTAACTTAAATACTGCCTTCATTAGAATTTGTATAATAACATGAAGAGGTGTGTTGTTTGATCCGACTCCTGTACTTTAATTGAAGCAACAAGGAAAGCATTAAGTATAAAAATATAATTTATTTTGCATACAGATACGAAATTCATGCTGGGAGCACTGTAGTAGCCTTTCACTCCAAGCAGACCCACCTGAAAACACTCTGAAGGAAAAGAGAAGTATGTGATGTAAAAACATACCGGTGACATGCTTCTCCTTGCTGATTGGCTAATGTGTCATATGTCTCACTCTTTTCAGACTAAGATACCTTACTCGAGCTTGCAAAATTTCGTAGAGAGTCAGTATTTATTACTTCCCATTTTTTGGATGCACTATGGGTAGACTTAAAACCAAAATAAAATATGTGGCTCTACTGAAACATTACGTCTTTTTGATGGTGAAAGATACGTCATTAAGTGATAAGAAAATTTCTTCCAAAGCAAGCATATACATTAGAGAGGAACAATTTTTTTTTTCTTTTTTAAGCTGAACTAAATCATCAAAATAAATAAACAATAATTGTTCTTTCCAACAAAATTTCAGTTAGTTAAATTCTTATAGTGTTAAATGTGTAATGTCTGATACCTCCCTCCCCCTGGTATACGAGGGAAAAAGTTGTACAACTCCTTCTGGCGATTGATTGTCGCAGAGGAGAGTCAGTTAGGGATTAGACAGCATCGGAGGTGACTGCACGATTACCGAAGGCGTGCACTCACCGTATGTCTTAATAGGACTACACGATAATATGCAGGCGTGTACTCTCCAACTGACTTAATTATGTTATCTATGTAAATATTGTATCTATGTAACAACCTCGTATATATATATTAAATAAAATAATGTGTGAGAAGAAAGAAGTCCCATTATTGGATTAACACCACGGATGACAGCAAATCAAAGAAACTTTCAAAGTCAATTCCATCACACTGTTAAGTGTTTGAAAGTTGTCTTTAAAAAGCAACTATCAAACACAGAAAAATTTTTACTTTTACAACAGTTTTTATTTTAAACAAACAGGATGCTTTTTTAATACACGCAGTGCTTGCATTTGGGAGGGGGAGGTAGGAGCGGGATTTTGTTTTTGAATATCAACGTATTAGTAAATGAGATGAAAGAAAAGTAGATTTTCCCATATAGTATATTTTTCAATCTCCTGGCAATGTGAACGAAGGGGGAGGGGGATCAGAGATGGCCAAACAGCGATCCTTTGCTTAATGAATTACAAACGGCGAGACCTACACATAACTCGGTGCATCTGAATAACATTTAGGAATGATCTTGGGGAGAAAGGCTTATGTCCCTGATGATCCCAAATTTATTTACAAACACAGGATTCAACGTGCATCAGTGTGCCAAAAAAATATGTGTTTGCAGGCACTGCTTCAGAGAACAAATGAGTGGTAAAGAGTGCTATGAGTTATGCCAAAATTTTGTGAAGACCTTGCATCTTTCATGGAACACCCAGATGATAAGGAGAAGCAAATTTTTGACGACAGAATAAGAGCATCGCTTTTGTCCCACGAAAATGAGTTGAGAGGAAAGTTGTTTTCATCGCTGGATAAGGTAACTGCAGAAATTCATGAGAGGTTTCAACAGCTAAAGAATTTGTGGAAAAAAAGATGTTGAAGACCAGGATTTCAATTTAGAACATGTGTTTCATGACACTAACAAAGAAGAGTTCAAGCTCGAACACGCATTTTGTTGATGATACGGGCAATGAAAATGAATTAATGAATTCAAGCCCGCTTGATGTGTTAAAAAGTTTATTGTGCAATTTAAGCTGGAAGTTTCCCTGCCCTAATATAATAATATTACTTTGAATATTCATCACAATTGCCATAAGCAGTGCCAACTGTGAGAAAAGCTGCTCTAAACTGAAGATAGTCAATAATTATTTATGATCGACAATGAGTACACTGAGATTGACTAATCTGGCTATTTTGGCTCTTGAGCTCAATATGACTGATTCAATCATTACTGACAGTGCTATTAAAGATTTTGCTATGAGGTAAAGTAGAAAACTGAAAATTTAAATTAAGAAAGAAATTTAATTTCTATTTACTAATAGCTACAAAATAAATCCAAAAAATTTATAATTATTTTAACCAATTATTTCTTTTTAATAAAAGATTAATAAATTGTTACCTACCTTATTTTATAAAATATGTTTTTTTATCTGAAAGTTGTTAAAAATGATTTCTTCAATGAAAAAAATATTTATTATAGTGCACCGCTTATGTTTTAATTTTTATAACAATACATTTTTTCAAGTAATAATACTGTTTAGATAATAATGGTTATGTTAGAAATGTAAAACATATTTTCGTTTTTTTTTTTTTTTTTTTGTTTTTTTTTTTTTTTTTTTTTAAGTTTTGTAAGAGTTTTAATTTTGGGACAATAAATTCTCTTTGCACTTATTTTTCTTTGCCTAGAAAATTTCATCTTTAATAATATCACAATTTGTAGCAGAAGGGGCTGCAATTTAGCACTGCCCCGGGCGGAAGAAACCTATGCTATGCACTGTACCCACACAACTATACGATAACAATTCCTTTTTAAATAAGGTTTATACGAAAAAAAAAACGGCATTACGAAGAGTTGTGTGTTCATGTAATGGTACAAATTGTATCCACTAAACAAAATCTTGATTTATATACGACATCAGTCGGAATCCGACATCCATATCTGACCTCAAGCTAGAAATTTCTACCATGCATAGCATTATGCACACGCATATGCTTTTACGCAAGTGCATAATACATTTACGCATGCACGTTTAATGTAAACGTGGTCTAACTAGCTAAAATTATCTATATCTCAGTTAATGTGCATTGCGTTGTTCCTTATCTTCTAATTGGATCGGCTATTATTTTTTGCAGACTTTCGAGCAATTTTAAAAGTAACTGAACTTTGATTATGTCAAAAGAATTTCCATTCTGGATCTGCAAAGTGAGCAAATTTCGATGTCCATCAAACAAAAGTGGAATTGCTTCAAAAAATGGGTAAAGGCTTTTGTTTCTCTAACCATCCGAATCGTTTATCAATTTTCACGCTGCTCTGTATGAGGGGGGCACACGGCGTGCAAATGAACTGGAGTTGACTTTCAGCACTATCCTTAGCTTTTATGGCAGATTTTTTATTTTATTCGACACTTAAATTCCCTACTAATTAGTTTTCATCTCGTGTACTCTACGTCTTTGATATAGTCACATCAATCCTCGCATTAACTCTCACGAATACACATCAGTTTTCTGGTTGGCATTTCTAATTCGACTATGCGTATATTGATTAAAGAAATGTTAACAAGTAAACAATAAATATTAAGCTTTTTAAACATTGAAAATTTTATAACCTTTAGATCAAATTGATTCTTTATACCTAAATTACGTTTCAATTTTTTATTTTAAATTCTGCCGCCTTCTTCCAAATTTAAACTGATGATCTATAATCCAGAAAAACCGATAATCTGGAATAGCTGAAGTCCTGACGAGTCCAGATTAAAGACTTTTGACTGTATCAGGTTCTTAAAATAAAATTAATTATTCTTTAAACTGCAAAACTTGACAAGTTTACGACCGTAACTAACAGTTTTAAAATATAGAATACAATACTGATTTAGCCACATACTACTGATCTAAAAGAACTTCTTTTCTCTCCCCATCACTATCACAGCTATCAAAAAATTTTGTTTCGGCCACCAGAGTCGTTTGCCTGTCTGTGAGATATTATTTCGCAATGCACAAATCGTATGGCAGCTCGTATTTTGTTTTTGCATTCTTGCAAACACTAACTGCAAATTTCACGCTTTACTTTTGCTGTGTTGTGTTCTAAAATTGAAATTGCTAAAATAAAAGTTGTACTACAGTCCACTCGCAAAGATGTATTCTTATATTTATTAATTTAATTTTAAAATACCGCTACGCTACATTAATTTGGTCATCATAAGCCGGAGATTCGCAAAAAAGGCGTGCTTGTGAAAAAGAATTTTTCGTCTTTATGATGCTGTTGATACACTTTCGGTTTAGAATTCTCATCAGTTACACAATGGATACAGTGTTCGAGGCGAGTGAAAACGTTAATGCATTTTAATTGCATTTGACATTTCTTTATTGCTACTTTATTGGATTACGTATTGTAAATGAGAATTTGAATATTTTCAAATTCAATACAGATACGAAAAAAAAAAAAAAAAAAAACGAAACAGAAGTTTTGAATACTTAACGAAATTCATCGAAAATATAATTAATAGGCGTGAATCTGAATTACTGAACAATTACAATCTTTAAGATTTTAAATCGTCTTTTTTAGAGTGAATTTAACATTTTTGATGATATACTTTGTGATATTACTTTTTTGTTGAGAAGACACAGGTCGATTTTTAGAGAAAATTGAGGAGGTTCACTTAAAAATTATTCGTAAGTTAAAGATTGACAAGGTTGTAAATGCAAATAGCGACAAACCTGTCATACCTGAATCAATCTCTGAAAGTTTAAAGTTACCAAAAATTTTCTTTACCCACATTTAGCAGAAATTTACCAGAATGGATAACACTTAAAGATTTATTTAGTGCTAGTGTCTGCAGCAATGCAAATCTTTCTGCAGCTCAAAAATTACACTATTTAAAGAGTTCTTTGAAAAATTATGCTTATTGCATTATTCAGTCAATCCCATAGCTGATCAAAATTTCAGTATTGCTTGGAATTTACTAGAAGAGAGATTTTTCTAATAAAAGAGAACAGATATTCGCTCATTAAACAATGCTAACATTCAAAATAAAAGAGATCTTCATCTCATCGCATTTACAGTAAAATAATTGAATATTAATAATAATAATTTAGTAACATAAATTTATTCATAGTAAAATGTAGTCGCCAGCCGTAAAAATAATTTTGCGGACTGCCAGTTGGACAGCCCTGACATACATTAAGCCATGCTGTTATTAATAAATTTGCTAATAGATTATTTTGACAAAAGTACAGTAAAATGAATCAAGGATCCAAACCTGGTGATAATGGTGGAACTTCAGCTATCATTGCTCTGCTATCTTGTGACTGTAACAGAAATTTTATGTAATTAGATATTAGAGAAGTATATTAATACTGTAATATACATGGAAAGTTTACAATGTTACATTTATTTGCATAGCAAGCTATATAACTGATTTCTTCTACAAATTCCCCTTTCAGTAATTATTACAACAGATCATGATAATATATACTTAGGTACATAAGTGACATAAGATAAAATGAAGGCAAAAGTAGACTTTTTTTTTCATCCTTTCCATGCTCATTTATTGAACATTTATTGTAATGATACTTTTTAATGGCTTTCAATTTAAAAATATGCTTAAAAACTTACATCTTCTTGTGTATCAGATGATGATTTAGAATCATCTGAATCACTCATGTCTTCATCATCATGTCCTTCAGTGGCATATGATACAAGTTTTGAATGTTGACGATTTTCTTTAACACTGCCTTCTAAAAATAGGATAATATTTTATGATAAACAATTAATATCTAATAGAGAAAAATATACAGCAATTATAATTATTAATATACAACATCACACTCTAATAAAATAAACTAAAAAAACACTAAAGTTTGCATAGTTTCACATTTGACTCTATTATATAAAAATATCTGATGTGGACAACATGACTTCCTTATATGGCCTAGTAAATTACACACATTTTTGCTGCATTTTATTTAAATTTATTTCCTTGAATTTCATTAGAGATGTATTTTTCATTTAATTAATTCAGTTCTCATTTCGCGGCAAGGCAAATATGCATAAAAACTTGAAATATCTTCATTAAAAATTGTAAAATACAGAAAAACAGAAAACACCAAATGCAGTCAAAAAACCAATTTAAACAATTAGAATTTTTACACAAAAACAAGCAATAGAGAAGTGGACAGGAAGACAGATTTTTCAGAGAACAAAATTGAAAGTTTACTTTTGGTCCCACTCAGCAAAAAGACACTGAAATTGATGCACCAAATGACTTAATCCACTGTTCTGCTAAGAGTTTCAAATGTAAACAAAAGGCAGTCTAGGCCCAGTGCCACTTAAAATTTTAAACTCTTGACAATTCTACAACCACTGTATGCACATTAACTAAAGACATAAAAACCTTAACCAGAACATAAGAACAACATAATTCAATCTTTTTAAAGCAAAAAATGCGCAATTAACCAACATATAAGAATAAAATACTAAAGCTCAGACACACCAGAATTAACCAACCTTGCTACACAACAACACACATATACAAATACAGATACGATGCCTGGACAAAGAACAAGTGGCAACCTCAAATACTATTCTATATTTGGTTTCTGTCCTGGAATCAAAATTTAAATAAAGTCCTTCGGTTTTTTTTTTTTTTTTTTTTTTTTAAATGAATATTCCTAAATCTGACAACATTCTGTGAATATATACAACAATTTATCGATTAATTTGATCAGCTCTCTTATGTGGATCATATATTTACTTAATACAACAGAAAATCCATATATAACATAATGATAGATGCAATACTGATAACAACAGATGTTTTTTTGAAATGACTGGATTCCAACAACAAAATCGCGTACCAGCTGCCTGATGGTTGGGGGATGCTTAAGTACAATATATCAATAAACCTCCATTCCTTAGAAAAAGGTAATTGGTTTTTTGGCATTGCACAGTTGTCAAAGTTTTTCTTTCAAAAATCTTTCATACTAATTAATAAAAATACAAAATTATACAAAATTAAGACTGAACTTTAAGACAAATAACTTGCATAATCAAGTTAAAGTATTTAAAATTTTTTAAAAATAAAACTGAATATTACCCTACAATAAGAAGAAAGAAAGGAAAACTTTCTGTTTTAAAATTATGTAAAATGTATGTGTTTGTGTGTGTGTATTTGTGTGGTAGCACTTCTCTGCTAAGCTATGGCCAGAAGTTCGTGACTGAGAAAGAAAATACAAATAATGCAAGTCAGTTTCATAGCTGAATCTCCTAACAAATAAAAATAATAAAATTTTAGGGGAGTGTTAAGAGTGCTCTAAGGGTACAAAAATGATCTGATGTGAATTATAATGGAATAAAATCATTTGTGGAATTTACCATTATGTGTGTTCTTCGAGTGTCATCTTTCAAACCACGTAGTAAAGTTTCTTCAAATTATAATGCAGAGAACCACCGCCAATCTGTTGCAATGCAACTTACTTTCACCAAGTCATCTAATCACAATAATGGCACAGTCTTATTACATAATATACATATATATGTTTTGTGCAGTGAATTGCAACAAAAAAGGGAGGTGCACAACTACATGTTATAAAAGTTCCAAATGCAAAATTTCAATATTCTAAGGCTAATTGTTTTTGAGTTATGCGAGATGCATACACATGTTCATAAAAACGTCAAACTCTTCTGAATCAATTTTACAATCTGTTTTGGGGAAAAAAAAGAGACCTTTATTCTGTCTATATGCAGAGAGGTTGCACAAAAACATTATTCAAATGGATTCAAGTGAGGTCAAATTGGATATTTTCTTTGAATTATGAGATCCGAAATTTTCACAATTAAAACACTTCTTTTATCTTCTACAAGGAAGGAAAAAAAAAAAAGGCAGATCTAACAAATTACTTGGAAACTTAACAAATTACTGGTGTGTCGACATGTAAGGTAATCCTGAAGTCAGCAAACTTTAAAAAAATTTACATTTCAGTGAAGTGAACATATAATACACTGCAAAACAATTAGCACAAAAATATAAAAAATTCTTAAGGGCAGGGGAAGGTATGAAATTTTATTATGTAAATTATATAATTGAAATTATCCACTATACCTCTGATACGTACAATATTTCTATAAAAATGTAAAGTCATGTAACATTGGTTTTAGTAAGTATACAAAATACAAAGTTAAACAAACCTACCCATTGAACTAGAACTTTCTTTGCTTGGACTGAAATTTTTTTCACGACTAGTTTCTTCAGGATCTGATTCTGCTTCACCTTCAGAATCAGTGTACGTCTCATGCAGAGAAGCAAGAGCAGTTTGTGAGTGGCTTTCTGAGCTCATGTTTCCAAATCTTTATTTTCACTACAAAAAAGAAAAGATGACTTTTGATTTTTAAAACAAATAACACACATAATAAATTTAGTTTTTAATTTTTATAAAGTTATATAAGGAAAAGGTCCTGGCATCAGTGCTATAGTAGTAGGAATAAAAAAATACTAAGTAGTAAGTCTTTTAAGCATATTCTTATTGCAATAGGTCCCTATCAAAAAGCAGCACAGATTTTGTAAAAATTTTAATCACTTCAAAATATTTGCATATATTTGTCTCACATACAAAGTTTTATAAAAGGTTTGATATTATTACCTTGTATTGAATTAGACACTTTCCAAGATAACAATAAAGATATTCACTGATATACAAATTACATTGAAGATAATTTAAGATATCAGACATTTCTTTTTTTTTTCTTTTGTTAATTTTACTTTCAGACCCCCC